CCAAAATTAATGGGTGGGTTATAAGCGAAGATATACCGTAAGGGTTTTGATCATGTTTACAAAGAACACTTAAAAGTACACATCCCACGTAGTACGCAGTAAGCTGTCAGTTAACTTCTTTCCCGCGTGTTGCAAAACTAATTGAAGCATAATAAACTTCATAGCCTCACAGGTTTCCTCGAGCTTCGCTCTCGGAATACTGTTCTCATCTTGGAACAATTAATGTCAGCGAACACATATCTGAGCAATTTTTCGCGCCAAATGGAGCCCATTGTTTATACAACAAGTTGCTTTTTCATCGTATAAAACAAATCTTCCATTTTGCGATGCGACTTTACATCAATAGATCGCAGAAGGCATCAAAATGTTTCCTAGTCGTTTTGTTGTGTATCCTTAGCGTCGCTTAGGGTACGTATTTTTTCCGCTACTGCTGAGTAAACTTGTATATCCCTGTCGCTAAAGAATGTCTTAAACTTGCAAGTACCACCAATGAGGTAGGGATTGAATGTGTACGTGTTTTAACCGTTCACCCTTGTTCTTTTTTTCAGCGAGATCTTCACAATCACGCCTCGTGTCCAGAGCGTTTCTTTCAATCTTTCTGGGAGGGATTTATCTTTTTCTCTGACATCTGTAACGCCGACAAGTGATGGTTCAACGGAAGAAACATTCCGCAAGAGGACTTTGTAAAGACAGTAGAAATTTTGTAGCACGTTGGTTAATAATCGATTGTAATGATTTATACAGCAACCATCATACTCGAACCGAGTTGTCTAGGTTCACAAGTAAAGAGTGCGATCGTGAGCCTGGACCTGTCTTTCTTTGGTCGGTGAGATTTTTAGAAAACCCAGGCATTGAGTGAAGGGGGTAAGGTTCTATAGAAACTGCGGTGCTGCGTCGGAAGGTGTACTCTAAGATTGTTTGGTTTAATCCGCTTAAGTGATAATGTACATTGGCCACCCTCTACGGCGGCCAATGTACATTATCAACCCAGTCATTGGCTTACTAGGCAGCCTAGCGTGTGAACTTCGAAAGATGGCTCTAGAATTCTGCTTGGGATTCTGTCACAATACTGTGCTTGCGCCTCTGCAATGACGTAATATCTTTTGGAGCGAAAGTGTAATCGAGGCTCGTGCTGAATGATTTGTGCGTGATAACGCGAGTTCTTAAGTCTTAGCCTAGTTTCCCACCCATTTAGGGTTGAGAGGCGTTTTTGAAACGGTTTACTTGGTTGTGTCGAGGGAGTACTTTGTAATTTTTATAATGAAGACAATTATCCAAGCATGACTTGAGCAGCGCCTTTGTCCATTGGCTACCTGCGTTACTCGCCAAATCACGCTCAAATGATCCCTCTTTCTTGTACACGAGGCATTTCTTCTTTACCCTCTCTTACAAGCTCGAGTCTTTGTGTTTATATTTACGCACGCATTAAGGAAAAAAAAAACAGGAAGGTAATGACAATAACCATTCTTAGACGATATTGGAATGGTTTGTAAAGAAGAATTAGATTTGTCTTAATAATAGGCCTCGCATTTCAGTCTTCAGCTCCATAGAATTTCTGCATACAGTTAGATTAGATGAATTGTACGTATTTTATATGACAAAATGTAGGTAAAATTGGTAAAAAAAAATAGTTAATTTAATGTTTGCGCAGTATGTAGTGATAATAGATTGTTGAGGGCTTTTAGATTAATTTTCTCGTTTCGTAATTTTTTCTTTTTTAATTATACTTTTTTTGGTTTTACGACAAGAATTCGATGTGAACCCGCTCTTTTCTCTCTTCTTTTTGTACAATGTTCTTTGAGACGTGCGCCAACAAGCGTCTTCTTAACTTTTGTCACTCAATATATCAATGTCCCGTTAGGACACGCGACAAAAAGCAAAAAAAACGCCATGAAACTTTCGCTTTTAAACTATCTTTTTTTATCCAACAGGGCCCAATTGTTCAAAGGGTGGATAGGTAGGTACTTGGTGAAATCCTTAATGTATGTATCAATACATAAGAACATGTGGGAATACATGGTCATTTGCATACAGATACATACATTAAGGATTTCACCACGTACCTACCGGTGGGTAACGCTATCCGCTGGACCAATCGCAGTCCGCTGAATAGCACAGCACATTTTGTGAACACTTATCAGCTGGAGGGCAGGTTCATCGGTTTATAGCATTATCAGCCCTTTATACAACTGGACTTACGAGTAAAACGCTGCTTTAACTTTTTTTTCTAATGTCATGTATAAAATACAATGCAGTACGTAATTAACTTCCACGGTTGAGGAGAAATAAAATAAAATTGTTAAAAATTTCGCCATGATGGACTTAAGGATATCATGCGTCACCCTAACTCTTTCACACGCGAGATCTCATGAATAATTTTCCCTAGTGCCTTGGATTAACCAATGATCCCCTTTTTGACATTTTCCTTTATTCTTGTCCCTTGTCTTCTCGATGTTGTATTAATATTGTCAGAAGAAATTCTGTTTTGATTACATATGGGAGTTTAAGGTTTAACATTAAGTGGACATGGTAGCTTGACTTTATTACTTAGTCGAAGGAGAATCTTTGATGATTTAGTGAAAAGCTTCTAAGGGCGGGGGAAGGTAGAAAGTGAACTTTTGTTCTCCGTAATTCTCTCTCCAGGAGGTTTCGTATCCACTTCTTCGCATCAACATCGTTTTCAGGATCTCTCTTTTTGCTAGCAGGGAGGAACTGGGGACTACACTGTTCACACAAAGATAACGTACCCCTTCCCCATGCAATAAGGAAAGTAGATGCTGGCGAAGTTTAACAAGAAACGTCATTCTCAGGGCAGAAAAGAATAAATTCCATTTATTGAAATTTGCACGATTGTATTAGGGAAAACAAAACCTAGTTCACTGGACGGAAACGCACGGAAATTGAACTAGCATATATTCAAAGGTTGTGACTGAAATAGATACTCCAAAATCAGGTTTCCGAGTAAGGACTGGAACTGAATGATTTATTTTTCGGTAGATAATGAAGTAATAAATTATTCAGTTCCAGACCTTACTCGGAAAACTGATTTTGGAGTATCCATTTAAGTCACAACCTATATTCAAATGTTCTGTTTAACAGGCCAAATTAAAGTTGCTCGCCTAATTTGACTCGTTTATGAACGAAAAGCAGTATATAGAATCATGCAAAAGCGCTTATAGAGCTTCCAGGATGCATCTAAATATTTTCCTCAACGAACGAAACATTTTATTTACGTTTTAGACGGGTTTTATTCTCGTTTAATGCTATTTAGTCTCCAGTTCACTAAGGGCTTCTAGACTCGGTCCATGCCCCCCCCTCTCTCTCTCTCTCTCTTTCTCTCTCTCTCTCTCTCTCTCTCTCTCTCTCTCTCTCTCTCTCTCTCTCTGAGTCTGGTATTCAGGACGACTGTGGGCTGCTTTACGAAACAGCGGTAGATCATCGTACCTGAGGTTTTCCTCGATCTCCTTTTCTTGGATTGCGGTGCGCATTGTATCATTGGCTTGTTTTTTGTTTTTTGTATTTTTTTTGTTTTGTTTTGTTTTTTTTTGCAATCCAGTTATCACGCATTGTCATACGCCTTTCCGAGAAGACGCAACTGCTTCTGCCCAAGAGGCAGTATTCAAAGCAGGGCCCAGTTGTATAAAGAGTAGATAATGCTATCCAACGGATAAATCGCTAACCAGTAGATAGATGGTAGCAAAACTGTATCGCGTTATCCACCGAAAAGCAATGTATCTGGTGAACAGCGTTATCCGAACTTCGAACAACCTGAGCCAGGTCTACTAAGTTTTACTTATTAAACCCGATTTAATTTACTCTTTTTCCCACTTTTGCGCTCTGGCAGTTTCTTGAAATCGTTTTTTATCTTAAATCTCCCTACCCCTCTATGTCTATATTACAATAAAAAACTTTTGATTACGGAAGACAACCTAAACGTTTTCGGAGCAGAAAAGTTCCATCTCTTCTGAATGTCTCCCTCCGTCAGTGGCTTCCCCATTTTGAGATTTTACAGCCATTAACCAGTAGAGCTGTACACTGCCGATGAGTATCAAACCAACTCCGACCAGTGTCCCACAAATAAGAAGAATTATTACCCATAAAGGGAAGCTGGAACCGTTGGTTGATTTACCTACGGGATCTGCAGACCAGATAAAGAATGTGTTACTGGACAAACGCTTCAAAGAGAGTGTTGTCGAATGAATACATCAATGCTCCAATCCAGACCAGTTTGATGAACTATGTACTCAGTACATTTTGTACCACAACCATTGTAAACTATATTTCGTTTAATGATAAAAATTAAAGCAGGTTTAACAGAAAAATTAAAGAAACAAAAACCAATCTCCAGTTACGTTTCAAGTCCACAAAAACTCCTCGAACCGAGACCTACACACCAAAGTCATATGATGTAACTACGTGATGTGCCGTAATGCGTAACGCAACGCTAAATATCTGTAACAACCATGTCAGTGTGACAAACTGTTCCATGCGTTCAGTTGGTAAAAAAGAGCGAAATACAGTCAACTGCGTGACATCAGCGGCAAAACATAAACGAGGGGGCTCTGAGTACGGTCGCGTGGAGAACGCGAATCAACCCAAGCCTCCCACGGTCTTCACTCCTGCGCTTCTATCGCGCTTTGTTTTACTAAATAAATGCCTGGAACAGGCTAGATAAGCTGAGAGAGAAGCATAACTCCAGCCGCCTAATGCTCCACTCTTTTTGCATTAGTGAATTCGTACAAGCCTCTGTAAAGATATCCCTTTACACATTTACATGAATGTCGTCATCAATTTTTTTGCTATTGGTAAGTTGGGGACAAACAACGCGAAAACAAAAACAAGTATTAACCCTTTATCTCTCATGAGTGACTGACTTCTTATTTCTCCTTACAGTATCACCATCGAAACAAATGTAAAGGTCACGAGAATAAAGGAAATGATCCAACCTCGTTCCCAGGGCCTTTTCCCTTTGGTTGGAAATGATCGCCAATTTCAAAAGCTCGAGATCACTACACCAACTCTCCTAGTCAGTACCATTGAGAACGTAAATAGAACAATGTGGAGAATATGAGTATTTTAAAAAATAATAATAAATAAACAAAAAGAGCAACGACAACAGACAAGATTACCTTCAAATACGTTAGAGGATTGGGGTTGAAGAGTTTTGCGAAGCATGACGGGACCGAGGGTGATGCGATGTTCTTCTTCGTCCCCAGCGCTCCTCTCGCGCCGAAGGTCTGATGGCTGACATCCTTTGTTGCACCGTGAATTTCCTTCCTTGTGACAGACGATGACATAACAGTGAAGATAAACCACAGTGTAGTTTGCAATCCAACGAAATGGCACAAGCTGAAAACGCTGCGTGTCTGTCAAAGTGTGGGTGTAGTCGGTCCCATTATCTGTGGGGCAACTGGAAAGGACAACAACAATATATTTTAGGGGATTGACATCATAGACCTCGAATGGTTTGCTTTCATTCACTTATTCTTTTAAATGAGTTTAGTCCGTCAAGCGAGCGAAAAGAAAGATGAAAATAATGCAGCCTGATACCTTTCGCGAAAAAATGTTCTGCTAAAAGTTTGGAGAATTAAGGGGGGGCATAAGTTTCCGTTCACCATCACTTCGCTTACCAATTAAAATCAACATAAAAGAAAAAAAATTATGAATCCGCTTCTAAGATTACAAGCACTGTTTACAGTGAGACTCCACTGATTGGCTTGATTGTGTTACGTTTAAACGGATCAACTCCTCGCGAAACTCCAAATTACCCATCTCTCCGTTACCGCTAGTCCAATGTTTGAAGACGCACTTTCCGTACTGATACCCTCATAGCCCCCCTGTATGATTATATCAGAATAGACAATTTTTTACTGCAATCCTAGCTTTCAAAATGTGGACCAGATGGTTTTGAACGTAAAGTACTACAAAAGCTCTGAGTTCGAACGAATAATCATATGGAAAGAACAAGAAATTGGCTGATGATCAAGAAAGATGATGCGTATTTGAGGCTTTTAATAAGTCTATTTTAGATGATGTTTCACTTTCGTCCAGTTAACAAAATACTCACCCGTTTTCTATAAACTTATATCGTACGCTGTGTGACGGGTCCATAGTAGGTGTGGCCACGCACAGGTCAGCACGGAGGATGAGGTCTGGGTCCGAGGTTTCCAATTTTGCTTGACAGTATAGTTGACCGAATGGGTCGATGGTCACCGGGTATTCCGATACATCATACGGTTTCAAGTACTCGGCACTCTGATACAAACCCATCTCAAATGAGAAGTTACCATACCCCTCTAAAAACGATAAAGGGGAATAACCTACTAAGTTCTACATTGACCTTCTTTGCTTTGCTTTACTGACATTTTGCCTTTAAAAAGTGCGCACGTTAAACTCTTAAATTGATGATTAAGTGAGAGTGTGTGATCCTCTGGCGTGATCAAAAAAGTGTGTTAGTGATATGATGATCCCAACGGTAAAGTACTACTCTTCAAACATCTGTTCACTAATCTTAAGAGAAACTTTGTCCGTTTGTTTTCAAAACTTAACTGTTACAGTAGATTTTGCTAAGACAGGTATAACTCTGTATCACACATTCTATTCTCGACTTTATCGTTGGGCACTTTGGCTCACAAATACAAACAAATTTAGTTTGAATGTCTGCGTAGCTTCGCACCTACCCCTCCCCTAAACCAACATTTTATTCACCCTCACTTGTTACAGGGGACTGTTGTTAGTTTGGGGGAGGGGTGGGTGTGCAGCTGCTCAGATATTGGATTTGTAGCAAAATTTACCTTCAAAAAAGGTGATCTTTTTTCTTGGTTGAAAACTTGGAATTCCGATAGTATCTTGCCTGTTGTATGTGCACGAGAACGGAAATTCGACAACGTACACAGTTTTTTGATCTTTGGTTTCCGCTACAACTTTGTTAAAATAAATCATGGATTCCTCGCTTTGCCGACTTGTGGTTCCGCAAGCGTCCAGTGGTGTTCTCATGGAAACGCGCGTAGAACTGACGGTGAGAGGACCGCAGGATTTGTTTTCAAACCGAAAAGTCTCAACATCGAGATAAGAAGATTTCAGGGCAAAGTCGACTTGCATATAAGATGACGTGCAGTTGACTGAGATATCATACACAAGGACAGGCTGGGTGGGTGTTATGGCTGTACCTTGGAGGAGGGAAAGAGGTACATATTTTAACAACTACGTACTGAAGTTAGGGAGGCTAGTTGTGGATATTTATCGAGCCGTTAAGCGGCGAATTAAATATATCCACCACTAGTCACCACCGCTGAGCTGCAAAACCTGGTGTGGTTGGATAAGAGTCAGGTTTAAGTCTGAAAATCTTGCTCTGTAAACGGACTAATACAACAGTTATGAGCAGGGAGTGGAAATGGAAAACAGTCAAACTCAGAATTCAAGAAAGCACACAATTACGAGTGAAACATAATTACTGCGAGTAGCCCCGATAAAAATGTCTTTGCCCGATCTTCCAACGTTTTACCGAATGTAAGAGATTCCAGAGAAAGCCACAGAGCTTGAAAATTTGCCCTCTCCCCCCCCCAACACACACCCTAATTTTCTTTAAGTTTTCCTTCTTATCAATAAAGCGCCGATAACTTATGTCCACCAAAGGGCGATTCAGAGCCACCTAAAGTTTTTGTAATGGTGTCACAGAAGAAACCCCTCAACATAATACAGGCGTGAATTACTTATAACTTTCCCTATTACAATCAAACCTTATATGTTTTTACCTGGATCAGGTCCTCCTCCAACACCACTGTATACATTAAATTCCTTCCTCGCCGGCTCTCTTTTCCTCCCAGCGACGTTGGACACGAATACCCTAAACTCGTACCTAGACCCTCCTCGTAGGCCCGTCACGTTGTACTCTTGATCACCAATACCCTTCCGTGAGTTCCAGTGAACAAATTTTCCATTGGCGTCGGCCTTGCTATACTCGATGTCGTAAATCAGAACAGGATCACCCCCGTCCAGGGGTGGGCGAGTCCATTTTAGTATGAAGCTGGTGGAGTTTAACCATGTCTCTGTGTTAGTTATGTTGAATGATCCTCTCGGAGGACCTGATGGTGAGATACAAGATAAAAATGGTCAATGTGCTTAGTGTTTCAATATGGTCTCGGTTTAAAGAAGAGAATTTTGACGGCTCGGCTCTTTCGTTTTATCGTTACTTCTTTCTAGTTGATTCTCTTATTCACTTTCTGTTAAGGCGTTTCTCGAAACCCGCTCACAAAAATGGCCCCTGTGCTGTAGGTACCCATCAAAAGAACTATTACTTCTCTCTGTTGTGATCATTATTTTCATGAGAGGTAAGACAAAACCTTTATCTTGAATAAAACTGCAAACAGTAGTTCGGTCAGACAACAAACTAAGAAGAGGGTCACAAAGGGGTGACGACTTTTACGTCTAAGGTTAAAAGTTTGGCCATTTTACAGCTAACAGTTAAAAGATTAAAAGAAAAATTTTTATGATTAACTCTTTTTCCGAATAACAGTTAAAACTTTTCAATTTTTACGCTCAATGGCTTAACTTGAGCAGCTAACGATTAACCCTACTCAGACCTTTTAAGATTACTGAGGATAGCGAAGATAAAAACAAATTTTAAGAACAAACAGGCAAAATTTAGACTGAACATCAAAATACAAACGTAGTTTCACGGTTTTATTTAAAAGGAGATGTCATTGTATTACTCACAGTATGCAGACATAACATCACTCTCTCCTTTATTTCCATCATTAAGTTGGTTGTAAGCCTGTAATGTGACGTCATACTGCGTCCTCGGTCTCACGCCCTCTTGGTTTGTGAAGGTAAACCTTGTAGTTTGTACACCGACATACACGACATCCAGCGAGTTCCCGGCATCCTTTAGCTCTATGGTGTAATGCGTTAATGGCAAACCTCCGTCGGATTGTGGTTCGTTCCAGGACACTGTTAAATGATCGCATGTGGTAACGAACGTGATGTTGGTTGGAGGGCTGGGTTTTCCTAATATAAATAAAAAAATGGAAGAGTTAAAAACGACAGACAAACCAAAAAAGTAAAACACTTTTGGTTTATTGTTCTACGTATACAGCGGGTACGAGACATTCAAACTCCAAGGCAGATCTCATTAAGGGAGCCTCAACTGACAAACCAACCCAACTCTCCAGTCCCATTGGATAACACCACTTACCGGCTTTATTGATGGCGACGTCATAGGACGCTGAGCCATACACATTGGTCGCGTGACATGTGTAGGTTGTAAAATCCTCATCGCTTTGTACAGTTACAGTAGCCTCTAGGCGTGGCGGCACAGTTTGTACATCTTCACTTGGTAACTCTTTGTTATCCTTTTTTATGCCAATATCAGGGACTGGATATCCCCACCACAGGCACTTTATTGTCACTGGAGAAGGGTTACCAACGAACGAATAGAGAGTGGAGGACGAGGATTTTTCGAGGTTGATACGTGGCGGACCTGTTAGAGAAAAAGATTTACTTTAAGTAAGTTGTTCCAATGTGCAAAGCGGTCCTCAGTAGAGAAACCCTTGAAAGTAAGTAAAGTTTTGAGCTTTTATCCAATCAAAAAGCATCAAAGAGGAACCAAAACAAAGAATAACCAAATTGCCTTTCATACCCAGCTGAAAACTGAATCGTCACAGAAGCAACGTGCTAGTGCAGTTACTGGCCAGAAATTAAAGGGATATTGGTTGATGCAATTTTCAACTGCATGTCAGAAGTGATGCGGGATTTCTTTGTTTTTGCCTTACTTCGGTCGGTGATTGGTTTTGAAAACACGCACGTAGACTCTAGACCGATGAGACACGAGACTTGGTCGCCCGGGTTTCCCGCTTTTCATAGTTCGCCTCTTTTCATTTTGAGTCCTCCTTGGCTGATGATGACGCAAAGCTTTGTTATGATTGGCTGGTTTGATCATTTTGATTTTGGTTTTATGGAAGTCTCTTCAAAACTTCTCTATTAATGAACGCACATTCCTAAGACACGAGTATTTTTTATCAATTCATGGCCTTTTACTGCAGTTTGCACGAAGAACCTCGTGCTGACATTTCCCAACAGACAAGCAAGTCAAGTTCGCTTTGCAGGAGAAACGTACCGTGGACAGTGACCTGGATTACTTTCTTCTCCTCTCGTAGATTTGTTCCCTGGTCTGTATCTGCCCCCAACTGTTCAATGAGGCAGATGTACTCATCTCTGTCCAATTCGTGAACTGGATCAATCAGCAGAGAGCCGTTGGACAGACGAGTGAAGCGAGGATCGGATAAGTTGATCAGCTTCCTATTTTTGTACCATTTGAAAGTTGGCTTAGGATAGCCGTCGGCGGAACATTGAATAATTTCTGCCTTTCCAACGAAGAGACTTTGATCCGGGGGAAACTGAGTGACAAAAACTGAGAGAAAAGAGGACAAAAAAGAAATGAGTAGATATAGGAAAGAATAAATAATAAAAGACTTAAAAATATATTACTACAACGAATTACAAATTGACTTCTTACCTATCCACGTCATGTCTATGTTACCGCATCATTGTGACATTTAGAAGTTTTGAGTCAGATTCAAGAGTTGTCTTAAAAATGCAATGTTAAGATTCCAAATGACAACAAGAATCAAGTCGATCTCAGCTTAAGCTAGTAATGGGAAGAGTAACTCAATCGTTTACTTGGCTTTCAAAGTTCCACTCCCCATTTCAGAAATCACTAACGCTGTACCTAAACTCGTCTCTGTATTCTACTCGAGCGGATTGCGAAAAGAAGTCTCGTTAATTGTTAGGGCTGTCTCCAAATGACTGAAACTGACGTTAAACTAGTTAAAGTTGAGCAATTTTCCATTAAGTGTCTAAAGTAATCTGGGATTGATTTAGTTTCGCTTTACTCCTCTCTGTGATTGGTCCAGAAAACTCGCGCTACTCTCTCAATCAATCACATTCAAAATTAAAACCAATCACGACTTGTAAGTTTGGTTGTTTTAACTTTGAGTTCTCATTGGCTCTTAAAGGTATTTTCCTCTCTTCTGATTGGCTGTTGTTTCTTTGGTTTGACGACACTCAATCTAAAGCACTCTGAAAACATAGATGTAACTTGTTAAGAATGTAGCTCTTTTACACCTGAGCATCAAAAACACCTACATTCGACATATAAAGTAAACTCTTTGACAGTCTTTTCTCCTCTACAGGTATAGTTTCCTCCATCCGCAACAACAACGTTTTGGATCACAAGTGTGTAGCTGTTTCCTCTAATAAGCAAGTAGTACTTATCATCAGGTAGTTCATCCGGTTCTGGAATCACAGTGACCTGTTGTCCATTCACATCGAACCACCCGACGAACCTTTCCCCAATTACTGTGCACACCACTCGAAATGTTTTACCAACTGTGGTGATGCCATTCCGCAACATGTCAATTTCAGCATCTGAGAATTAAATACTGTGCATTAGACAGTCTTTTCACCCAAACATCAGTGTGTATATATTCTCCGTACTGTTCTCTATTCATTTCCTCAGGTGCTGACAAGGAGAATTTGTTTAACAATCAAGAGCTACTTAAGTTGGTGATCATTTTCTCTACTCTCGTAACCTGGATGTGTGTTTCAGGGGTCATAAAGTAGGGGGAAATTAGATGCCAATCACTCTCAAGGGTGAGAGGGGTTTGAGGAAGACTTCCTCGAATCTCCATATGGCCTGAGAAGTGGTATAAAATGCTCTTATGTTAAACCTGGCGATTAATGAAATTTAAATCTTCATTTTCAGCGATGAAGCAGCTTTTGCTAATTTAGTTTCGGAAATCAATTTGGTGTTTTTTTTTTTCCAAAAAATTATACTGCATTTAACAGAGCAGAGTTGAAGTTACTCTTTTTGGTGAAGCAAAATTGGTAACTAAAGTCAAATCAAGTTAAAAGACTTGATTATTGAATTCAGTGTGACTATCATTATTTTCATACTAAGAATCTACAAAACACGGCAAGCAAACTGAATTTAACAATAAAAATAAACAGAAATTATTAAGACAGTGAATATTTTATGATCCTAAGGCTTTAAGCTTCATTTCATAAACTAAAAGGGTAATTGAATTAGATTTAATTTTTTTTTCCAGAGACGCTTGATTAGCATTTTGTTGAAACGTGTGGAAATATAAACCTGCGGTTTGCCCTTAGATATGCTTAAAAAACTTGCAAAACATTATTTGAAGCTTAGAAGAGAAGTTTTTAGGGTGAAGCGGTACAGTGCAAAAGAAATATCTTTATTTTATGAAAAAAAAAAAAAAATCAAAGGAGAGGATTAAAATAGAAGTAATCAACCTTGTCAAAGAGAGTTTTGAACAACGGCCGACGCTAAGGAAACTCGAGGTTTGATATTGCATAGTTGATTTGTACAACTTTTACCATTTTAAAGTTGCTCTAGGAAAACCAGCAAAGGCATTTTTCAGTACTATCTGTTGACTGAAACACGTTGCGCTAACGACAATTGAGGACGGCATGATTAATCTTCGATTGCGAATATGCAAAATAGTCTTATTTATACCTGGTCTAATATGTCTGGGAAAAACAAACTTGTGCTTGAGAAGTCAAAAATCAAGACATCAGCGTATGTCCTAATGAAGTTTATTTGTTGTTGTTTGTTAAATGCTGCGATCATCTTGCGGTAAAAAGTGGTACACCATTTTGTTACCAACTGATTTAGCCGATGTTCCAGTTTACAAAACATGCTAAATTTATGTACAGCGAGCATAATCTTTTGTCAATGAACGAGAATACCGACAGTGGATCTCGCAGCGGTAAACTTTGTAATTAAACAACTGTTGAATGCAAAGTAGCAAAATAGTCCTTAATAAAGCGATTCAAGGAGTTTTTTCCAGTTCTGTTGCATGTTTCTAGGAGTTTAAATAAGGTGAAATTTGGATTTCGCGTGGTTTAAGGGCTGATAATTTTTCCCACACAATTAACAAAAACATGTGTGCTGAAGCTTTCTTGGTTTCAGTATTTTTACTGCCATACATTTATAGCTTCTGTGTAGCAATCGACTTAAGGGCAATTCATCATTTTGCCAATTCCTGTTTCATCATTGTCTAACGGAATAAGTTTGTAAAGTTAGCGTGACTTCGTGTCGTCAATTTTGCAATCATCCCCTACTTACCCGTGACAGGCGGTTTCTCAAGGAGTAAAAATCCCATCACACAAAGAAGAACGAAAGAATGAAGCCCTCCTTGACAAGAACCTCTCATTGCTAGGAGCGAAGGGTTTCCAAAACGCTTCTGTTAATGAAGAAAATACACCCCATATAGAAGCCAATCTGTCCGCACCCGAGCATTCATCTCGTCTTCCTCGCCATGATAATCATAAACAAGACTCGATTTGAATATTCAAATCAGCGCAATCGATGGTTGAAATCAAAGACGGCCTTTGTATTCTTTGTCGCTAGATTTCGCCTTGTCACTCAAGGGACTCAAGAGTGTATCCAATTGGCTTGAATTTCAATAGCAACTTACTCAACTTGCTTTCTTTCAGTAAATGGTTAACCCACAAAGAATGGACAGAACGATCGAGATTAAATATGAGAAACGTCGCGCCAAGTGGCTAATATATTAAATAATGAATGCACGTCTGGCAAGGATAAAAGACTTTTGATAAAATAAGACAAAGTAGGTGACACAATTAACATAATAGTGCTTCACTAAGAATCAACAATTCTGAGAAACTCAAGAGAAGGCGGATCACGAAGGCTAGCTCTTCACATCATGCAAATGCACAGCACAGGCGCTCTATGATACATAATTTTAAGTCGCTATAATCCAGTCCATTTCGTTCTAACACCGATCAGACTAATTTCCTTCCAGTTTGAGCCATCGTCGATGCACAGAAAACCACGTTTTGTTGACCAAAGGCTGCTTCTGAAGAAAAAAAAAACATGACCTTAAATAGCTTCTTGATCTTTGTTTACATTTCTATGAATTTGCCTTACTATTCAGAAAGTGCTTTACTTTACAATCAATTAGCTGAACAAGAGTGGACCACGAAATCATTGTATGTGATGTAGCTTTCCCTTGTTATTTTATTGCCTTAGGTTCTTCTCAGTCATTTTTGAAGTATACGTGAAGTCTCTTTTGATGCCACCTTTGGCTTGTCCACGTCACCATCTTTATAGATGAATTTCTTTGTTTGTTTGTACATGTATCTATATACCCCTGTACTTGTATATCTATTGTGTGCCCTTGTGTGGGCACACCTTTTGGGGTTTTATCGTTTCTAGTTATTCCTTTTTAAAATCATTTCTTCTGATAAATGCTATTAACTTATTTCATTCATCCGTTTAATTATTGATGTTTATTTTAGTTTGGTTTATTAGCTTCGCCGACAGGCAGGGACACCGCAACAGCTTGCACCAATTACTGCGGGCCCAGCAAACCCGCCCATCCCACCCCAGGGGAGGACATACACCACACAGTAATCTCGTGCGTGAGAAATTAACGTCTCCTACCCCTAATTCTACAGGAGACGGGGCCTACGGTTTATTCGTTCTTATCCGAGAAGACTACAATATCTATCTATTATAGAAAGGTAGCAAATTATCCTCAGTTATTTTAAGACCATGAGTATTGGTCCGGCCGGGACTCGAACCATCGACCTCCCGCACAACACAATCCGGCGCTTTAACCAATTGAGCTAACCGGGATGTTTAAATTGAGAGAGCATTGAGAGAGCATTACCCCAAAGAGAATCAAAGAAGAGTCAGTGACAGTGCTGAGAAACATTGCACCGATAGCAACGAAATCATGGTTTTTTTAATTTCTGCGTGCAAGCGTCCGGCGCGGATTGGTTAGTACCTCAGAGATAATTAGAATTACGGTATCAAGCATGTCCTTCTATTTGCTTTGCTGGAGATTTTATCGTGTCCTGGGAAAGGTGTTTAGTTCTAAAATCGTATTCAGTTCATCTGATGAATCAACTTGATAAAGTGGCTCAGATTTGTTGATGACGAAGGTTAAACTTTAGACTACGCCTCAGCTTGTCTACAACCATATTCTCACCCAGACTTACTCTCAGTAATTAACTATAACTGAGTGCGCACGAAAGGAGTGGGTTAAAAGCAGTGGTTTACGCAGCCAATGGCGAATAGCAGAGCTGGTAGCGCGCAGGGAAGCCCCATACTTATCAAAAAAGTGGTTGTAACCCATGAAGCCGAGAAAATTTGGTAGTGTATAATTGTACCCGCAAGGTGCTACTTCTGGCATGCGCGGCCAACAAAAATTCCGAGCACGTCTACGCCATGCCCTAGAATTGTTCTTGTTCAGCGGAAGTATCAGCGCAATGCGAGAAAAGCACATACGGTGAGCAATCCAGCCGAGGAAATTGGTCCATCACGTGACCGCATGTTCGTACGTGCAAGTTGCTTCGTCAATTAAACGCCAAAAACTGTATTGCAGGCGCAAATTTGGGCATTTCAGCAGTTAGCAGAGAAGGTAATACGCATGCAAGCGCATGTGTTACTATGAAACCCTTTATTTGTCAACTGAGCCTACATGTAAGGCTTTTTCTGATGGCATTAAATACTCAGGCTCAAGCTTTCCATAATGGTGTTCCTACAAATACCATTATTCAGGGAACTTTGATAAAAGCAATTGTTCGCAATTCGCACTTTGTCCAGTGACCGCAAAGGGGCAATCATACTTCAGTGCGATGTCCCAGTGCAGCTTACCACGAGCGCATAGGGTTTGTTGATTGCATGTAATGTATATCTTTCAGTTTTAAAACTTTCAACTAATATTTAATTATTCGTAACTTACCACCCTCAGAAGTGGTAAGTGAAGTAAAAGCTTATATTTAAAACTAGGTCGGCGTTTAAGCATTACATGCTTGTTGGGTGGTGTATCTAATTAACCCACCTAATTACCCTACTATTAAAGTGAATAAATATAAAATGACTGACTTTCGCTTTTAAGTAGATACAT